ACTTCAATATCAGGGGGCGCATTCGCCCAGGGCGCTTCTTTTCCTTTGCACGGTTGTGCATCCATTACGGAACTAACGCGGCTAGAATTTTGAGGGTGGGGGTTATGTGGGAAATGTTTGTTAAAACTTTAAATAAAATTGTCAAATTCCTTTCTTAAAATTTGTGACAGTTTCGATTTCTTTCTCAATAAATAGCTGGTGATTTACTAAGACTAAGAGGCAAAAAGCGGGAAAGTAATGAAATATATGTCAGTAGCGAAATAAACACAATTGCAAACAGACTAACAAAGCAACTTGGCTCCATCCAGATACATAAAATCACTAACACTGCCTCTCATTTTACTCACCACAAACCAGAGTCAACTGAGGTGGCATCTAAATAATTAAGTTCCATCTATCAAATTAAAGCTGACCAACCACAGACCATTTAAATAGCTTATTTGCCTACTATGACTCACAATTGTCGAGAAAAGTCAATCCTTTCTGGAGGGGGTGGTCCACACAGGTGCCACTTTTTAAAAAAAGTATAATGGAGGGCGGCATTTTCGGCGGGCTGAAGAGTTGTTTTTTTTTTTTTTTTAACTTAGTGGTAGTGGGTGGCACAACTTTCTAGTGAACATATCGCAACATAATCCCTGGTCCGCTCGTAACGTTTCCCAGATCTGCTCATTATGAGGACACGTTACACACCACCCAACGCTTGGAAATTGGTCGCTCTTTGTTGTTGGTGGAATTCTATTACGTAGCCGAGTCTCTCGCTTCGCACCTTTCCGTTTCCCTGGTCTGGTCTGCTGATTACCAGAGTAATTCTCTGATACACTAAAGTAATACGTCGGCATAGCTAGAGCGACGTGGCCTCCACGGCCTTGCCATGTTTATGTTTAGTAAGGCTGTGGGCAGCAATGCAGTCGCCGCGGCTTACCCGTGTATAGGTTTACTTAAAGTTAAAGCAGATTTCTGATTGTTAATGCTGCATAAACTTTATGGGTTGTGTCCGTTGCGGTGGCCGCGCAAATGAACGCAGGACAAGTAAACCCACAATTCACCATAACACATCCAAACACAAAACTAGTGAACCAACGGACAAGTTAACACGCAGAAAAGTGAATACCGGTATATAGAACATAGACAGCTGAACCCAACAACTGGGTTTGAAAAGGCCTTGCTGAGATAATCGTCATTCTTAACTTGTTCTTGTAAATTTATGTTCACTGCTAACTCGCAATGATTGGTTCCGAAAGATTTCAGCTACTTTTATAAATATGTAAATGTTTTTAATGTGTTTTACAAAATTGTGTAAATAACCATTTTTATTATATTTCTTGGCCAGATTTTTGTTTCCTAAACTGAGTCTATTGATTTCTTATTAAAAAAAACATTAACATGTTCTACAATATTGTTTAACATTTGTAAAAATATCTAGAAAATTCGTATCTTTTATGATAATTTCACATTGATATGCTTTAAATTTCATTTTATTTGACTCCTATATATCTAATATTGCTTAATTGAATTTTTTTTCTCTTTTTAAAGTGGTCCACTTAGGATTTTCCATTTATCTCTGACGTCAAATGTATTATGAGGAAAAGTATTATTACCACGTGCTTCAAAATTTGCAAGGTTTTTTTCTATTATATTCTCTACATAATGATTGATGTTTTTTTTTTATTACATGTCTCATAAACAAAATTCCAAAGTTTTTATGATCCTATTATTTTTATTAGGCTCGAGGCTAGTGGGTTGTTTGGCTTTTATCGAAATAGCATTTTCATTTTTGTTTTCTGACGTCAATTGATGAATCAGGAGCAATAGTTTTGGAACTACATAATTGAAACTTTGCATGCTTATTTATATTGACATTCTCTACTTAATAATGAATGGTTTTTAAACAAATATCTCAAAGGAAAATTTTTCAGAATTTTTTTATTTATATATTTTGTTTAAATTAGGTTCGTGTGTTAATTTTTTTTTTTCTATCTTTTCTGCCTTAGTTTTCTAATTGTTTTTTAATTCATGAATGGTATATGTACATGGTGTATGCATCCTATATCGTTCATGCAGACCTCTAATTTAAAAAAAAAACAATTTTATACTTTTTTTTCATTTTTCTCAATTTTGCCTTTTCCGGATTTTTTAGGAACGCCAAATGAATTGGGAGGAAAAGTATTCTAGCTACAGTCTTCAAACATTGCATGCTTCTTTTCATTGATATTCTTTACAAGATTCAAGAGGCTTTTTTTATATACCGGGTATATCCAACTAGAAAAGTTTTAGAACATTATTACATGTGCTACTCCTGAAGAGTTCTCGAATGTTTATGTGATCCCCACATACATGCCATTTGTAACATTTCCAATAACTGCTGTGTAATAAGCATCTTTAAACTTTATGTCAATTTTATTATTAATGTGTATGCCAAGTTTTTCATTTACAATACAGTACAATAAGTTACAATATAATGCAATACAAATTTGTCTTTATTCATTTTGCGTAAAAGTCAAAATTGGTATAAAATGTTTAATTTTTTGCAATAAAAGTCACAACAAATTTTTAAAAAATAAATACTAAAGTTTATTTATTTAGTTTTAAAAAAATAAAAACTTTAGTGGATTTTTGTCTTTCTGTTTGTGTATGCTTTGTGTGTACTATATTTTTTTCAATGGCTCTATTTATTTAGGGTTATCAGTATTTTATTTTCAATGTGGCATGACTTAGTTGCCTTGAAACCAAACTCCCTTCACAGATCACTATATTTGCTCCCACTCAAAAATTACACCTGTACTTAAATAAAGAAATGATACAAACAATAGTTAACTGTACGGGTACAAATAAGGAATGTGAGAAAGTAAAAGGAGACAAATGGCAAAGGAATGATGTGACCTAATTGAATGAGTTTATTGGCTGCTTACTCCTTACTGGCCCCTAATTAATTTTATGGATTACTTGAGTACACAACTCAAATAACTAACAACCAAACAAAAATGTTCTCAAGTCAAAAAGGTTTTGTTTTTCTATTAAATTTTAAATTATGTACCAGTGTGTTAGACCCAGTAGACGAGTCCTCCAAAAATAAGTCTCTTTCTCATGCTTTATACAATGGCATCTTTTAACTTTAGGATGTTCATTGCAACTACCTTGTGAATTAGGTCAGGTCTAGGGGGGGGGGGGCATCTCATGGTTGACCTGGTGTAATCTCATTGTTAGCATGGGGCAATCCCACTGTTAGCCTGGGTGTAAACTCATAGTTGGCCTGGGTGTAATCCCATTGTTAGCCTGGGGCTACTCATGGTCGGCCTGGGGTAAAAAGCTGCCCTGTTTAACATAAGAAGTAAAATAAAATTATGAAAATAAAAAAAAAAATTAATGGAATTCAAACGTTGACTACAAACGTTTAAACTTAATGATCTTATCTTCTCAGCAAATATGACTAGGACTACACTAGGGCTTAGGTGTTCAATAGAAAGTGGATGTCAGAATATAGCATCAAGTTGATCTGGAACATTCAGAGTAGGCCTACCTTCAAACTGCTAAATATTTTTAGAGTTGTAATGATAAAATTTAATTTTTTAAAGTTTCAACGACTCTCAATCTAAATTAGACACCAACAAATGACAGCTTTTTCAACTGAGTTCTTGAATCGAATGCACTCTACGAAAACTGACAGTTTGAATCTTTGGAAGAAGGGCAATGGTAGACGCGGGTGGGGATAGTTGAGGGGGCAAGGGTAGTCACTTTCATTAATGATACGATAAAAATGGTAAATATTTACATGCTCGCCATTTAAATTTTGTCTCTGCAAAATGTATTAATTTTTTTTTTTAAATCAGTGTAGGCCTACACTTTAAAGCATTTTTTAAAAAAAATCGAATAAGCAAAACATAAATTATAAACACGAAGCCGGGGGTATCGGATATTTTTAAAACGTGTTTGAGTGAAGGCTATTTTAATGAAGAAAAGAAAAGAAAAGGGGGGGGGGGGAGGGGTCTCAATGGCTTATTAAAAATTAATTGTTTAAGATCGGCGAAATTTATTCAAGAAAAAATAACTCTTCAATAAATAAAAGCAAAAAGGTTCCTGCATAACGAAGTACTATTTTAAAGTTTATTCAAACGCTGCGGCTATTGGGGCCTGGCTGTCAGAAGTGAGAGGTTGGGTTTATTTTAAAATATTGTAGGATTTGTAAGACAAAATGTGGTATCGAATGAAATATAATTGAATGAACTATAAGTTTTAATACGTACTTCTTCAGTTTAACTAAAATAAACTACCACAAATGACATCCGAATAGACAGACCCGAATATTTAGTCTAACTTAAGGGATTCGGTACGCATATCAGCTGCACTTTATAGTCTATAGCAGTGGTTCTCAACCTTTTTAGTGCCACGACCCTTTAACACAGTTTCGCGTGTCGTGGCGACCCACAGGTTGAGAACCGCTGGTCTATAGTATAGCATAGTCATGTCATAGTTATATTATTCATCGAGCTACAATATCCACTTGAATAATTCTGAACTTTTTATTTCAGTTTTGGATTTTCTTTCCAGTGGAAAACAATGGCACTGGAGAATAACTGAAAATATACATCCAACATCATTCATATAAGTATTTGTAACATTCTCTTACAATGTGAAGAAACATTAAGGCATTTTAAGACCAGACTTCAAACTTCAAATAAAAAGCTTACTAACTTATGCAGGTTGACAACAATATTTCTTAAAGGGAAATAAACACATTTTACCCACTAAAAATTTAGTGAGATTTGCGCTGTAAATTTCATCAGCAAAAAAGAAAGACCTTCATTTTTATCCTGAAAATGCCGTCTCCGATTAATAAAGAAATACCTCAGATGGGCCCAGGTTCTAAAATTGTATCTCTTATTGATGCTTTAAAGAAATGCCTTATTGTGACAGAATTCAAACGCTCACATCAGCTGCTCATTGACTTCTCCAGCATAGGGTTTAAATATCTTCCCGTAGAGATTTGCAAAAATGAAGAAATTATGGAGCTGGCCACTACATTTTTGTTGCCATTTAACAGACTGAAAAGACTTCCTGAAAATATTGATGCACTGCGTAACTTGCGTTATGTGGATATGAGAAGTAACGTAATGACATCTATTCCACCTATTTTCTTCAACAATCAATGCCTGGAATATGTAAGTCTGTAACTAAGCTTTTGTTAGCATGTTTTATCTGGTGTCCATAACTTGATTACCCATGCCTGCATCTCATGTAGAAACAAATTTCATTACCATGAAGCAGTTTTCAAGGATAAACCTTAAAATCTTATATTTGATTGAATTTGGTTTTGTATAAAATTACTGTTGCAAAAATATTTTAAGAAAAATAAATTAACACAAAGATTTGGACTAATATAAATCAAAAGTATGATAAAATAATTCTTTTAAATATTTATAATTTAATTTTGTTAAATGAAAGAAATGAATTACTAACAGAAATACAAGAAAGAATATCAGCCGGAAACAGGGCATATTTCAGTAGTCAGAAAATACTCAAAAGTAAAAACATTACAAGAGAAACAAAGAAAACTATTTATAAAACTGTGATCAGACCAGTTGTAACATATGCAAGTGAAACTTGGACCCTAAAAAAAAACAGCAGAAAACCTATTAAACACAAGGGAGAGGAAAGTTCTCAGGAAAATATATGGGCCAACAAAGGATGAATATGGATGGAGAATACAAACCAACCAGGAGTTATACAGTCTATATCAGGATCCAATGATATTGGCAGAAATAAAAAGAGGCAGGCTACGCTGGGCAGGACACCTAGAGAGAATGCTAAATGACAGAGGAACGAAGAGGGTGCATCACCAATACCCCAGAGGAAAAAGGCTCAAAGGCAGACCTAGGCTTAGATGGATAGATGATATAGAAAAAGATCTACAGCGGCTGAAAGTCCAAGCATGGAAAAGAAAGGCATTAGTTAGGTCTGAGTAGAAGGAAGTGGTGAGGCAGGCCAAAGCCCTACATGGGCTGTAGCGCCACAGGGATGGATGGATTGATTTATAATTTAGACTTAGCATTGTTTAACTCTCCATCTTGTAGTAGATTTCATCATTCAATCACAGCGTTTTACAGGCACTATCATTTCACAGGTCGATTGTTCAAACAACATGATCAAAGTAATCCCACCTACCATTAAAAAATGCTTGTGGCTTCACACATTCATTGCAGTCGATAACAAGCTCAGAACATTACCTGCTACAATCAACAAATGCCTAAGTCTAAGAATTTTAAATGTTAAATTCAACGAGGTAAGTTTAATATAGTCCACTGGAGAGCTATGAATGTTGTTTAGTCAATGATCACGAGGGAATATAGGCACATAATGAAAATAGATCCTTTTTTGGGAGCTAATAAATATAGCAACATAATATAAAGTCGCAAAATTATATAAATTAAAAAAATTGAGTGTGTGTGTGTACGTTGTAACACTATCCTTGAAAACTTATAAAAGTTTACCTTTTCAAGACAGATATAAGGGAATAAACCTTTAAAAAATATGCCAGTGAGTAGCAGTTCTTATTAAACTAAAAATGTTTGGGAAGCAGCTTTTAATTTTTAAATTTGTTTCTTTCGACTAAATGATTAAAGAGTTTTACTGTCTGGGATTTGACTCCTCGCAATTAATCATGTTTTGGGTAACTGAAACAAACTATCCTGAACTCTGAGTGCGTTTGAAAGTTTGAACCCAGTTTAAGAACAACCAGCACAGATGCTCTTAGTCTGCTGGCTTCTTATGATAAGCTGTTCATGTTATTTAAGTGTTTATGCTCTGTATAAGCATAAGCACCTGGAATTTCACCTAATGTCTTTGTTCAGCTGCATTCATGTTAACGTGTACTGCTAAGCTCACACACAATTTCAGATCAGAAGAGTTCCAAAATCAATTTATGAAATAGGTGCTGAAGTAAATATATCATTTAACCAACTGACCGAACTTCCGTACGCCAACATCAAGACCCCTGCTCTACGCTGGCTGGATGTCTCTAACAACTTCATCACAACTATTCCTGACAACATTGACATTGTCTACACACTTGTCTGGTTTAATGTCTCACACAACAAGCTTGAGGTAAAGAAAAATTGTATTTTGCTATTTGGAGATCTTCTGGTGCAAGCCAAAATTCCTTTCTATACTGTTGTGTGCAAATGGCAGCTTTGAAATAAATCATGTTTATCATTTAAGGTGGTAATACTAAGACTTAAGAATATTTTAATCTAATCTTTCTAGATAAATCACTGATAATATGTGCGTCCATGACAATGTCATAGATTTGAAAATAGGCTCAACTCCTAAAATTAAAATGTAAAAATGAGCTACAAGAACTATTCTATCATCATTTATAGTAGGGATTGTTCATAAATATTTGAGTTTTCTGATTTGACTAAATTTAGCACAGTTTTTTTGGTGTTGTTATTGGTGATTGTTCCAAATACCTGTTCCAATACTCTCTGATAGTGAATATTTCTGCTGATAGAATGTGCCCCAGGAGTTGACCCGCCTCATATACCTGTACGAGTTAGACATCAGCCATAACCAGATCAAAGAACTGCCTCAAACTTTTGGACGACAGGTGACATAGTTTTGATTTTGTTGTTGAGGATGATGTCATTTTACTTAGTTTCTCTGATATGTTGCTTTGCTCTCACTGCACTATCACATCCCTGTAGAGTCACAGTGGTTCTAATCCTTTAAGAGGCTGCCCCTTATATGATAAAGTGTTCATAATAAAGCTTCATAATAACCATGAGAGTTTGTTGTTTGCCCTTCATAGTTCTCTGTGTAAGTTAAAGAACATTTTTTGAACGTTTTAAATTTCAGGAAGAAAAAAAAAAGTGTGACCGTATATACTCGCATAAAAGCCGAATTTAGAAATATAAAATACAATACTGAAATCAGGGTCGGCTTATATGTGCATAAAACAAAATGGACACAAGGATATACACTAATGCCAATTTTCCAGCCACACATTTTCATCGCTTTCTGACTTTTTATTTGGTTGTGTGTACAGAGTACCAATATATATATACAGAGGTGTCACTTGAAAGAATTTAATGTATACATAGCTGATAATTATACTGAGTAGAGCAGAACACGTTTTTGTGTCATTCCAAAAGGTAAACAAACCGGCATGTAACATAAAAGTAAGCTTTTTACACACTTACAGTAAAAAGTTTCTATGAACCAAAACTATGGAGTAAAATTAGACAATTGTATGGTCGGCTTATTTGCAGGTTTTTGCAAAAAACTGGCCATTTTAAAGCAGTTTTAGGGGGTCGGCTTAAATGCGATGTAGGCTTATATGCGAGTATATCTGGTAATTCAGTTATTAGAAAAAGTCCCTAGACTAATTTCAGCTACCAGGATCTTTTTACGATCTTATCCCAAAATAAAAAATAGGGAACTACAAAATTAGCTTGAAACATGTTTAAAATAAAACAACAAAGCAGATGAAGTAGATAATCATGTTATTCATTTAAAAAACAACCCATCTATGCCCATCACTGATTGTTTATATTCTATGCGCAGCCATTGATTGATTTATATTCTATGCCCAGCCACTGATTGATTTAGATTCTATGCCCAGCCACTCATTGATTTAGATTCTATGCCCAGCCACTCATTGATTTAGACTCTATCTCTAGGCATATTCTCTCGCTGTGCTGAAAGCGTCCAACAACCAGATCTCGGCACTGCCTCTGGACATGGGATGGATGAAAGTCTTGGAAGAGCTTGATGTCTCCAACAATAAGATTGAATCTTTGCCCAAGGAGATACCTCGACTGAAATACCTTTGGGTGAGAGCCAACATGGACGGATGACATGGGAGAGTTGTTCACAAAATGCTCTGTTAAAAGCTGTATTTAGTTTTTAACAATGTTACTTGAATAAGAGCTGATCATTTGATTTACACTTTTAGGAAATGGTGGACTTTCAGTGGTGGCTCAACCATTATTTATTGTGTTTGGCAATCATGGTTGTGACAATTCCAAGGGTTAGATTTCCCTGGTGTTTCAACCAACATTTATTTTGTTTGGCAATCATGGTTGTTAACAGATCCTAGTTACTGTGAGGAAGTAGGGGGAAAAAAAAGAGATACTTTTAAGCCACGCCAGTTTCACATGAAGCTATTAATATTATTAAGTAAATAAAAAGTTCATCTTCTGCTGTGTGCAACCGTGAGGGCAGATATGGTAAAAATTTTGTGACATGTTTATACTAAAAGATCATTATAAAATAAAGCTATTTGTGTTTGGAATGAGAAAAAAAAAACATCCGACATTCAAGACAAAAATATTTTCGTTGGCGAATTATTTCACCATTTAATGTTGGCAAGAATAGCAAATCAACCCCAGGTTGACATCCATACACTCAATCAGTGAACCCCAGAAATCTGAGTCCATTCATTTGTGTACTAACATATTTACTTTTAACCTTTTCATATATACATTACCGGCTACTGGACTTCTGAATTAATATCATGAAGTAGCGTTATTATGAAGTTTTTTAGTATCTTGCAATTTGACCCTCTTTATAACTTAGGTTTATAGAATTATAGATGGCCGTGTACCTATATTACTTAATTTAAGGACCCACATTAAATATTTCTATCCAGAAACTTGACATATCAGGCAATAACTTGAGCTCCATTGACGTTGTGATCACAATTGACTCCCTTGAGGAGCTCTATTTTGCCAACAACAGCATAACTGAAATTCCAGAGGATATTGACAAGCTAAGCCATTTGATACGCATTGACTTATCTGGAAACAAGGTTTCTGCATTACCCAAGTCTTTAGGCAGGTAAAACTTGATGGTTTATCTCATTTACAAGTATTGTCTTGATCACTAAAATAAGTCCAAACATTAAAATCGTGCAGATGACTCTGCCTCAAGATTACAGCACTCGCTGCAGAAAAACCAGAAATATTAAAGACTCTGCCATATTCAATGACAAGGATTGCAGTGACTGATGTATTCAATGACAAGGATTGCAGTGACTGATGTATTCACTGACAAGGATTGCAGTGATTGCCGTATTCAATGACAAGGATTGCAGTGACTGCCGTATTCAATGACAAGGATTGCAGTGACTGCCGTATTCAATGACAAGGATTGCAGTGACTGACATATTCAATGACAAGGATTGCAGTGACTGACGTATTCAATGACAAGGATTGCAGTGACTGACGTATTCAATGACAAGGATTGCAGTGACTGACGAGCAAATAAAACAAGTCCAACACACCACCATATTTTTTTTATTTTTAGAGATGGTCAATTCCTTTAAAACTCTGAATCTGAAACATTTCTTAGTTATTGTTATATACAGAATACCTACCAGTTTTTGGGATAAACTCTTACTGTACATGTGCATCCAGCCTTTGATATTTTCTACATTCAGAAGTACATTTTTGTAAGTTTTTTTTTCTTTTGCTTATACCATAGCAAATTTGATGGATGATCACCAGCAATTAATAAACTTAAACTGTACACACGTATTGTAAAAGTAATTAAAAATTAAATACAAACTACCACTACATCAATGAAATTTTAAAATGTGAACAGTTTAGAAAGTGCAGCCATTAAAGAAGTAAACCCCTGAAACTAGTGTCCAAGCTGGCATGCCACTGCTTCTTGGTCAACATGCAGACATTTCTTTAAAATTAAGGCACCGGGTAGTTTTTTATTGGAGTATTTTATCCTAATCATCGTATCCAGAGAAAGTAATGTATTTTTATTATAAAACACCTCTGCATGATGCGAGTTTTACCAAGCCTGTTTAAATCATTTTTTAACTCATGTTTTGTGTAGGGACACAAGCTTTTTACAGTTTTTTTTACACATAGAGCCCAAAAAGATTTGCTATCAGTGGATTGCATACATTACCTCAAATATTTTAAAGAAATTGTTGACTCATCATTAATCTAAACTTATTTATGTTATATATTATATGGGCTTAGCCATACTTTCTATCTTGCTGCCTGTTATGGTATATATTCTAATATTGACAAAAGAAAGAAACATATTTAATTTAATCTGCATGCAGTAAGTCAGAACTTTCTAATTGGAAAGACTGTTTTTATGTATGATAGAAATATTTCGTAATGATAATACTTCACTAATCAAACATACAGCTTATCAATGAATAGTTCTCACTAATTTCATAAATGAGTTACCATATATACTCACATATAAGCCGACCCCCTAAAACTGCTTTAAAATGGCCAGTTTTTGCAAAAACCCGCACATAAGCCGACCATACAATTGTCTAATTTTACTCCATAGTTTTGGTTCATAGAAATTTTTTACTGTAAAGATGTCAAAAGCTTACTTTTATGTTACTATTACATACCGGTTTGTTTACCTTTTGGAATGACACAAAAACATGTTCTGCTCTTTCATACTCTGTATAATTATCAGCTATGCAGACATTAAATTCTTTCAAGTGACACCTCTGTATACCGGTATATATATTGGTACTCTGTACACACAACCAAATAAAGAGTCAGATAGCGATGAAAATGTGTGGCTGGAAAATTGGCATTAATTAGAGTATATCCTTGTGTCCATTTTGTTTTATGCGCATATAAGCCAACCCCTGATTTCAGTACCGGTATTGTATTTTATAGTTCTAAATTCGGCTTATATGCGAGTATATACGGTATGCAGATTGGAATAAATTCTTTAAACTACGGTACATAAGATGTACTGGTCTTTTAGAGCAAACCTTTCCAAATGGTGTTTAAGTTAAAGTTGTCTTAAGTCTTTCATCATTGAAATAACATTACCCGGTACTGGTATTCAATTTGTGTTTTCAGTTTTCACAGTAACCCGGAGGATAAACAATCACCTCATTTGAGAATCATCTTTTATTATTAGACCAATGCATGTATATCTAATTGTGATGCGCATCGCACAAACACAAGTCACTAATGTCTTGTTTCCAAAGATTGAAATGAATTCATATAAATATAAGTATAAGCCTTTATCAAACCCCCATTCTCTTCTCAGCCTCATTTAAAATTATTGTTTTCCAGAATTGTTTCTCTTAAAGATATTTTTGCTGCCAACAATCAGATAACAGTGTTTGAAGAATCTCTTGGCTGCAACCAGTTGCTTAGGGCATTGGATTTTTCAAGCAATAAGTAAGTTTGTGATGCATTTGTATTGTTGGGGATTCACAGAAGATGAAATTCTGTTCCTGACAGTTGCATGTCCAGCTTCATGGAGTACGGTACTTCAGTGTAAAAAAATATGAAATGATGGGTTTGTATATGACACATTGTCAAACTCACAACATCAGTACCCGGTACTGTCATTAGCACGTTATGTCAAACTCAAGACATCAGCACATATGTGACAGATTTTTGCATGTGAAGTCTTAAGATTTACCCAGAAGAAGAGAAATTAAATAAGATATTAGACTATATTTAGACCTAATGGAATTCAAATGTAACAATGCATATTGTCAGAATATATGAAAGACATGGAATGGAAGATTCATTATAAATTGTCCCAACCTGATTTTTTTCGCTGTCATGGTTTTCCTCACTGTTCACAGGCTTACAGAGCTCCCCAAGGATATGGAACCTTTGCGTACCATTGAGGTTCTTCTCATGAGTAATAACAGAGTGTCCTCCCTGCCACCGTCCTTTGAGTTGTTGGAGATGCTGCGTGAGTTTGATGTCAGCAGCAACCTGCTCACTGAATGCTACTTTGTTAAAACTCTTGAGGTGCCAACTGTCTGTGTTGTGATTGTTAAAACTTTATAGGTGCCGACTGTCTGTGCTGTGATTGTTAAAACTCTAGAGGTGCTGACTGTCTGTGCTGTGATTGTTAAAACTCTAGAGGTGCTGACTGTGTGCTATGATTGTTAAAACGCTGCCGACTGTCTGTGCTGTGATTGTTAAAACTCTAGTGCTGACTGTCTGTGCTATGATTGTTAAAACGCTAGAGGTGCCGACTGTCTGTGCTGTGATTGTTAAAACTTTAGAGGTGCTGACTGTCTGTGCTATGATTGTTAAAACGCTAGAGGTGCCGACTGTCTGTGCTGTGGCGCACGCAAATTAAAACAAGATGGAATGAAACTAATGGAATTTTTAAACGTTTAGTATGTATGATATCTGAAATAAATTGATGTTTACATGGTTGAGATATAACAGTTAATACAGTAGTGGAATAAATTCAATTTGTTGGATGGACCTACATATGAACCAGGAAGTGAAAAATGTATGGTTTGCTGCATTATTTTGCTTAAATGAAATCATTGTTATGGATATTAAATGTGTATACATTCAATAAATAAAAATAGGGTCGAATGGTTGAAAATATGAAATTTTTCTCAGTACGTGGTAGATTAAATATCCATGATTCTCATATATCCATATGTATCAAATTTATGGTACGAAGAGGAGGTTGTGTGCAGTATGAAACTTGTAGCTTTAGATTATAACATTATAACATCATTCTTCTGTCTTAATTAAAAAATAGTTTTTTTTAAAGATTTGATCCCTGCTTCAAATTCAAAGCAATAATTTTTATTGTTAACCTTTCTGCCATTGAATTGGAAATCTTAACAGCTGTTTAGAACAGAAACTATTGCATTATAATTGAGCCAATTTGTTTTTCTCTTATTACAGTACTTTAACTTTTACATTACAAGAAGAATTGGCAGATATTTACTTGATTTGCACTCTTCAGGTTCTGAATATAGCCAATAATCCACTACCACTGTCAATTGGTGAAGTGAAGTCTCCACTGATGTACATGGGTGAGGACCAGCACGGCATGATGCTGACTTTCTGTGACATCTCCAGTCTCAAGCTGGACTTCCTGCCTCCATCACTCTGTAACTGCAGACAGCTGGTGACACTCAAAATAGCCAACAACATGGTAGGCTGTCTATCAAAGTATTTTTTTTTTAGGTAGTGGCTGGCAACAAGGTGTCAAAGTTGTGTGTCAGATAGCAGATAAATAACAAGGGACACAACTGACAATGTCAGGGGACACAACTGATATTTATAAAGAGAAAAACAGACTACTGTACCGGTACTAAAGTAGAACACAACAGCTTTATTTATTCAAGCTAATCAAGATAAAACATATATTTTAAATGTAAAAAAAAAACAACAAAAAAAACAAGTCACTAGTTACACGTTTTTGAAAAAAAATCATTAAAATGATAAGAAAAGGGTTGAGCTCTCCCAGCCATCACTCAAGCAACTGTAGGATATCATTTTCTCTAAGATAAAGTCTCTGCCTGATGTGATTGGTCGACTACGCAACTTGGTAACCTTTGACGCTCACAACAACACAATCTCTGAAATCCCGATGAGTATCGACTGCCTGCATAAACTGGAGTTCTTAAACTTGTCAGTGAACTGGCTGGTCTTCTTCCCGGTGAACCTTGCCAAAGTAAACATTTCTTTTTGTCAGATAAACATGTTTTTTAATTTTATTGATGAATTATGTCAATGTAATATTTTTCTAAATATTTTTCATGAATTTTTCCCAGGTGATTTTTAAACAAATAAATTGCTTATTTAATCTTGTTATGGAATAGAAATTTGTTCCACATTAATTGATATGATGGAGCTATATATATATATTTGCTAGAGGAATGCCAATTATATCTATGAAATATTTTCTCCCACTAAAAATCAGGGCTTTTCCCAGAGACACAATTAATAATAAGTTAATACCGGTACCTGTCTGTTTTTATGGAACATAATATAGGACCTAATACCCATCTGTTGTTAATGAACAGAATATAATATAAGAGACACACTTAATGCCTGTCTGTTGTCAATGAACAAAATATATGACACACATAATGCATGTCTGTTGACAATGAAAATAATATAAGACTGTCTGTTGTCAATGAACAAAATATAACACACTTAATGCCTGTCTGTTGTCAATGAACATAATGTAAGAGACGCAATCATCATCTGTCTTGTCAATGAACATAATGTAAGAGACACACTCATCATCTGTCTGTTGTCATTGCAGTAAAACATTCTTTTCTTTACTCAGCTGCACAGGGTTAGACACCTGGACGTGTCAGAAAATCGACTGGAGATGCTGCCGGACAACTTCAATCACTTGGATCACTTGGTATATTTTGACCTGAGCTCCAACAAACTAGTCAAGTTCCCCAACAATCGAATGGACATCCTGGCCACCCTGCTCACTCTGAATGTCTCAAATAACCAGCTGAACGAGTTCCCTTCGGACATGGTGTTTCTGTACAGGTAGTGTGCCGGGGACTGATGTGTCATGATAGTTAATCTAATGTGCATGCCTTTTTATTGACAAGCTTTTATTTGTTCAGGAGCACTGTCAACTTGTTCATTTATGATATATGCTGTTATTTATTAGGGGCCAACCCTAAAAGATGTCATGCATGTTGGTGTGTGTGGGGGGGGGGGGGGGGGGAGGGGGAAATCACCCATATGGGAAAGGCTAAGGGAGTAAACCCTGACAGAAAATCAGGAAATGGAGGTCCTAGGGCGGTCTGTTTTTTAAATCAATTGCATTTCGGCAGCTCCTGCGATGCCAATGCTGCCAGGCCATATCGACACTAGTCGATCCCTTGGATCCACCAATAGCGTGGAGGGGGGGGGGGATCTGCTGTTTGGGAAGCTGCTGGTCCTCCATACTACTTCGCCCAGGCTTTATCTGCATTGGAGAGGACACTCCAGCATGGCCGAAAGGTGTGAATATTGACTGTTGTCATTTGAATTCAGTGCCACAGTTTGAAATTTTTGATGATTACTGTTCCATAGACTGACAGTTCTGGACATGTCCTGCAATGAGTTGACCAAACTCCCTTTGGGCATCAACAACATGCTCAGCCTGGAGAGACTCGATGTTCACGACAATTTCCTGGATGAACTCCCTGAGACACTAGTGAAGCTGAAGCGCCTTCAATATTTTGACGTCAGTGACAACATGTTGTCACCGACATGGCTGAAATTCTTGGCACCACTGGCTGAGAGGTTTGAGGTTTGTAGTGCAAAGTTTCAAACAGGAAATGTTAACAAATTGCAAGATGACAGGAAATTAACGCCTGGAAGGCTGTCAACAAAATTTTAACCGCATTAACTTGATTATATCTATACTTGAATAGAGAGACATGCCTTGTTTGTTTGGTGTAATACTATCATTGGGACATTAAGCTAATGTTAGGTTCATGAGGCTAACGTTAGGTTCATGAGGTTCTTGTAGCAACTATGTAAAAGTTTGTCATTTTAGTTTAATGTTTAATTTTTTTTAGCACTGATCTATGTTAGATAATTGTTTTTATCCTCTGCGACAGCACGAAGCCAGTGTCAACCAGTTGAAGTAAACATGACTATCTTCAATTTTTCAGATTCTAATGGAAGATCAAAACCCTTATAAATTCAGAGAAGGTGAAGTACGTCTGGCAACACCAGTAGAAAGTGAAGCTGTATTACAGTCATAGCAGTATAAATACAGAACAAACTTTCAGAATTTATTTTACTCTATTATGAAATAAATCTCATGTTCATGTACCAATTTATAATTGTGTCAAAATTTTACTAAAATCTGAACATGGAAAAAAAAAAACAATGAAGGAAAATTTTAAAAAGTTATTTGAAAAAAATTATTTTGCCACCAGTTAATATCATCCAATGTTTAACATCTGTGATATTCTGTGCCCCCCACCTTCCATTTCCCCTACCCAAAAACTTAATCTGTGATATGTACAATAAAAGTCATAATCATTAACTTCATCATTATTCATATGTGTGTGTTATGAAATGATCATTGAATTATGAAAATTCTGGTCCAGAGAGGCGGAAAAAACTGTAGCTGATCATTTGACTTGCCATTAGGCACAATTTAGACTTTTGATCATGAATTAAATTGAACATCTTGTGCTCAGTAGAAATTGTTATTGTTAAAAAAATGTGTTGTCAAAATGACCTAGATTTTGGGTTTATTATTAGTGCTGCAATATGTGCTGAGAGTATGATCCAAAAAACAGGAAGAATGAATAAAGAAAACAAACTAGCACTAGTTACAAAAACTAAATTTGAATAAACATTTATAGCCTATATCAGCACCAGACAGGTTCACAAAGAACAAATCCAGACAGAAAAAGCTGAGTCAAAAGGAAACACTGAAGACTTGTACAATACAGCAAACACTAACATTAACAACATGTACAATACAGCAAACACTAAAGACTTGTATACTACAACAAACATTAAAATTAAAGACTTGTGCAATACAGCAAACACTAAAGACCAAGATGTGTAAAATGCAGCAAACATTAAAGACTTGTACAGTGACAATGCTGCAAACATTAAAATTACGAAGTGGATGCGTACACCGCGGCGGTGAACTTAGCGAAACCATCGGCTTTGGCCTGCGTAAACCGCGGGCGGTGTACCTAGTGAAATCGTGGGCTTTGGCCTGGGTACACCGCGGCAAAAATTTACCATTGGCCTGGTTTTAAGACATACTTGTTAAAGAAGATCTTGTGTGGTCAAGTGGTAGAGTGGACGCTTGGCGATAATATAGTTTGAGATCAATTCTCAGTAGGGGATCGAGGTTTTTTCCTCCCATTTTAGTTTTAAAATATTTTGTAGCAATTTAAACAATTTAAATATATGTTTAAATATATTAAATACACTTTATATATTTATTTATATATATATAAGTGTTTCAACAAGTTGTGCCGGCCTTAGACTTTGAAAATACCCATAAATTTAGTAATAAGACTTTAGACATTTGAAAAAAAACTTAAAGTTTCTGAAAGCGCATGTAATACATGATGATCATGTATAGTGTATGTCAATGTAACATGTATAACAGAAACATTATGAATACTAAGTGACTGATATTCTATTGTACTTCAACATTCTTCGTGTAGTTGAATAATTACATTTTACTTTTACGAACACCCAAAGAAAATACCAGTATGAATATTATTCATACCATATGAATATTAATGTGCATGGTCGTATTTCAACCTTGAACAATCTTGCTTTCACTATGCCTTATGCATTGGCAAAATGTACACACGATATCAAAGGTTCATTCACAACACTCAGTCTCACAGCAAATCTTTTGAAAACACCTCGATTTTAGAAACTTGCGGAGCGGTAGCAAACTGTATAGCAAAGCCATAGGTCTGCGTTTACCCTTTTCATGACGGAATTTGTTTCCAGAATGGCATGGCATGTGCTATTCTCAGGGTAAAACATGACGTTTTCTCACAGAAACCATTGCACAATGGGCTTGGGACAGGATTTGCACTATGTCAAAGTTTTTGTATTTTTTGTTGTTTTTTTTTTGTTAAGAAATCGATCCTTGCAGGGGAGTGGTGGGTGGTGGTGAATTATGGGCAGAGGCTTAACCAAAAAGGGGGCATTCACAAATCACGGCTCAGGATAGGGGTTGTCCACAAAGGATGTCCGCACAACAAACTTACCTTTTGCACCCCCCCCCCTCCGCCAGCATTTTTTACTAATGTGTAATGCCAATGTAAAACTAAATCAATGATATTTAATTATTGTTAAAAGACTTTCAAAAATCACTGCAGTGTTTCGTATTGATCATCATACTGTTGTTTTGTGTTGACACATGCTTGGTATCACAATGACAATGCCTCGGACAACTTTAACTTCATGATCAATGTATGAGTATGTGATTCTCTTCCCGTAGTGTATTTGTGGTGTAGTTATATCTTGGTGCTAACAAAATAGATTCACTGTATTCCCATTCATTTTTACACCATGCCCCGAGGGATCACATACAATGTTATATTTATAATGGCCCCCTCCCCCCCCCCCCCAAAAAAAAANTTACAATTAATAAATATATTTGTATTTCAATATATTGGGGGAGGGGGGAATAATGTGGTTAACTTTAAAAATAAATCATGGTTTAACATTACGCCCCCTCCCTTCCAAAAATAATAAGAAATGCTTTACAGCTTTACATGCACTTTGCCACATAAGCGTGGAACTTACTCAATATCTTCCGAAGGTGATAAACGAATTTTAAATAGTTTTCAGTTTTAACACGAGTATAACATTAAATCTACAAATACCGGTTAGGCCAAAAAGTTAAAGACTCGCAAAGACCATAGTTTTGCTACTTTAAATCGCTGCGGTGTACGCAGGCCACAGACCATGATTAAGCTAGGTACACCGCCGCGGTGTACGCAGGCCAAAATCAATAGTTTCACTAGGTACACCGCCGCGGTGTACGTAGTGCCGGCCTTAAAATTAAGGACTTGTACTCAGCAAATACTAAAGACTTGCACAATACAGCATACAAAAGTCCTAAATTCTAAATGAAAACATTTTTTTTTGGTGGAAAGGTTCACCAAGCTTAAGAAGTATTGCAATCCCTCTTCTAAGTCTGCCCTTACGCGTAACTTGGCCTTGCGACTCTCTCATTTGTTTTTACAGATCGCCCAAGCTGAAAACGAAGTGATGGATCAAGTACCTCCCACGCCCACGTGTTTGGTAACCCGGTGGGATAAGAACAGACTACATCCTGATCTTACTCTTAGCCGAGAAGCAATCAGATTTTTTGTGGGCTTATGCATCCCTTACAACATATATAATAATTTCTTAATTCATTCTCGTTCATTTTGATACAATTACCTAAGCTTGTTAATAAGAAAAAGTAAAGGAACTTTCACATACAATTTGTTAAAAATTTGATTGAACTTAGGCTGCGGCTATTCGCACCCGGGATTCAGACTCAGAAAAGAGTAAGACTAAGAGGTTGGGTTTATTAAAAAAAAAATTATTGTTGGGGGGGTTGTAAGACAAAATTCGTATCAAATTGAATCGACTATATGTTTGTAAACTTACTTCTTCGGTTTAACTAAAATAAACTATCACAAATGACATCCGAATAGCCATTTTTAAGACTAACTAATAACTAAGTGTGCGACTAAAGAAGACTTGCGGTTTCGCTAGTTGCCGACCGGAGGGGAGGGGGAGTTACAGGATAAAAGCCACTGAAAAAAAATCGTAATTATATTTGTGGGTCAATAATATTGTTTATAATAGACTAAACCATAAATATTAGTAAATGGAACGGAAATTCACAGGGATAAAATGAAAGGAACAAAATAAAATTTATTAAAATATGAATATCGGATGCATTTACACAAAGGTATATGCATTGACCAGTATCA